AAGAAAACTACGTTGCTTTGCTTGAAGAGAAAATTAGAAAGAGATTTCCAGTTGAAATTTTGCAACATTGTATTTAAAAAACTGAGCAGAATATCAATTGAAAAATCAGTTTTAATAACTTTAAATAGGATTTTAATATGAAGCATTAGGTGATCCTTATGTAATTTTGAATAATAATGAAATTTATGCCAAGTGTTTTGTAAAAACAATGAGTTATTGCTTGTTTAAACAATTAAATTTGCAATCAAAATGCATTCAATTTTCATATCATAATATATGCTGTAGGTTACCTTTATTAGCTTTTGCCTATTTTTGATTGAGAGAACATTAGAATATATTACCGTATTTGCTTTTGGTTCATAATAAAATTATGGATAGATTTGTAAAACTGAAACAACGGGGAAGAATAGTCAACAGATCAAGAAGTGATGTGTTCTGCCAGACTTAAAGCTACTACAGGAAAATATATGAAAAAGTCCTTATTTTAATCCAAGACATTGACTAAATTTCAGAGCTTGAAATTTTAGATTCAAAAGGCAATTTTAATAATGTTACTTGAAGAGCTAGCGTGTGTAAGTGGCAGAGGTGTCCGCTTACACACACAGCCTCCCTCATCTACAAACAGGCTATAGTTTCAAGTGCTGAGAAGCCTCCAAAGGCACTCCCTCCACTGACATTGCAGGTTAGAGTGAGCTCCATGAACATGTAGCCCAAACACTACCAATGTCCTCCCAGAACACCCAAGGAATGCTTTCATTCAGGGACCATTTAATCCTAGATGTCCTGTTTTTTCTCCAGAATGGACATTCTCAGGGTTCCTTTCTCCAAATTTGCATGGCCCTGCCCATTGCCTCTCACTTAATCTTTTCCTACCCATTCTTATGGCACACAGCAAACAGGAATTGATCAGCAATTGAACAAGAGGTTTGGAAAGAATTCACCATCATTTAGAGGAGTTGTAGTTCACCTACACCCAGAGAGCACTGTGAACCCAACCAACGATGGATCTGGACCACACTTGCAATGGATGATGAGAATTGCAGTACTTTAACTCAGTTCCAGAGACCACTGCAACCCTCATGGATGACAAACCTTGCCACACAAACCCATATGACCCACCATACGTCCCAGTGTGGTTTGGGGGAGGATGGACCATGGATATGCAGTACCTTCACCTGATTCGCTTCCTACAGCCCAGGACCTCCACGAATGATGGACCTGGACCAAACTTGGCACACAGACTCTCCATGACCAAGAGAACATACTGGAGATGTTTGAGGGAAATTGACCTTCATGGGAGTTATAGTTCACCTGCATCCAGAGAAATCGACCTCCACTGACAATGGACCAAGACAAAACTTTGCACAGTAAAGTCTCATGACCAACAGAACATACTGCAGGGGTTTGGGGGAAAGGACCTTGATGCTGGGAGTCGTAGTTCACCCTTATCCAGAGAGCCCTGAACCCAGCTGATGTCAGATCTGGACCAAACGTTGCGCACAGACCTAACATGCTCAACTGTGCATATAAGCAGGGTTTGGGAGTGATTGTCTTTGGCTCTGGGAGTTGTAGTTCGCCCTTATTCAGAGAGCACTTAATGCAGCTGACGTCAGAACTAGACCAAACCTGGCACTCAGACTCAACATAGTCAACTTTGAGTATTTATTTATTTATTTATTTACTTTGCTTGTATACCGCAATTTCTCAGCCTTGTAGGCGACTCAACGCGGTTTACAACAAGAGCAAAAGTCAATCCAACAGCATACAAAATTTAAAAACCATTAACAGCATAATATACAAAATGACACATCAATAACAACACATTAACGTCTCGTAACTAGAATCGTGATCCAATTCGTCTTCCATAATTCCGTTTCCTATATTCATCGTGTACATTGCATTGTTTAACCGAACGCCTGTTCGAACAGCCAGGTTTTTAGTTTTCTTCGAAACACCATTAACGAAGGGGCTGATCTAATGTCCATGGGAAGGGTGTTCCACAGCCGAGGGGCCACCACAGAGAAGGCCCTGTCCCTCGTCCCTGCCAGCTGTGCTTGTGATGCAGGCGGGATCGAGAGCAGGGCCTCCCCAGAAGATCTTAGAGTCCTGGTGGGTTCATAAGCAGAGATACGTTCGGATAGGTAGCTTGGGCCAGAACCGTTTAGGGCTTTAAAGGCCAACGCCAGCACTTTGAATTGAGCCCGGTAGCAAATCGGCAGCCAGTGGAGCTGGTGCAGCAAAGGAGTTGTATGCTGCCTGCGCGCCGCTCCTGTTAGTATCATGGCTGCCGCACGTTGGACTAGTTGGAGCTTCCGAGCCGTCTTCAAAGGCAACCCCACGTAGAGAGCGTTGCAGTAGTCTAAACGGGATGTAACCAGAGCGTGGACTACCGTGGCCAAGTCAGACTTCCCAAGGTACGGGCGCAGCTGGCGCACAAGTTTTAACTGTGCGAAGGCTCCCCTGGTCACCGCCGAAACCTGGGGTTCCAGGCTCAGCGATGAGTCCAGGATCACCCCCAAGCTGCGAACCTGTGTCTTCAGGGGGAGTGCGACCCCATCCAACACAGGCTGTAATCCAATACCCTGTTCGGCCTTGCGACTAACCAGGAGTACCTCTGTCTTGTCTGGATTCAGTTTCAATTTGTTCGCCCTCATCCAGACCATCACAGCGGCCAAGCACCGGTTCAGGACCTGGACAGCCTCCTTAGTACTGGTGGGGTTTGGGGTGATTGGCCCATGATTTTGGAAATTGCAGTTCACTCACATCCTTTTGCATTTTCTAATGGGAGCATTCATAAAAAAATAAAGGAAAGACTGGCATTTTTCTAAGAAATAGAGCTACAAATTACCAAACGAAAATTACCTAAAACACCAAAACAAACAGTGCCTTTTTCAAATAACCCGGGCCAACATAACATACTGGAGGGGTGTGTGTGTGTGGGGGGGGGGGGATGACCCGGCCACATGAGAGTTGTAGTTCATGCTGCATCCAAAGATATTACCAAACTTCCCAAAATAAACAGTGCCTTTCCCAAGTCACCTAGGCATCGCCGGGTCCCCAAGCTAGTATTAAATATTTAGTGATCTATCAGACTCTTTTTCTACTAGATGAATTTACACTATCTATATCTTGCAAATTATATTATACGGCAGTATAAATCCAGCCAGTTAACTTAGCACCCTAGAAAGGAGAAGAGAACCTGAATGTTTAGCACTGCAGCAGGCCAAAGCACGCTGCCATATAATGCAGCTGTTGTACTTTCTTTTGGCTTGAACTTTGTTATGTTAAACATAAGGATAACATCAGGGTGCAGAACACCAAAAGCCTTGTATAAGGTGCTTGCAGTAGCAGGGGAGGAAATAGTTGTGCCTGTACTATAGCTCTGCTGGGTTACCTCATCAGCTGTTTCCTAATTGCAGCCAAATGATGTAGCTTAACAGCCTGGAACAGATGATAAATGCCTTTCCACGGGACAATCTTTAATTGTCATAGTGATAACCAATATCATTTCCGATGGCTCACTGTACCAGTTTCATTAGGAGAGCAAAATAAAAACTGCAGGGTTAAAAGCATATAATACTGAAACCATTATTTTTAATGATAAACATCTTCCTAATAATAGTGTTCTAAATGGCTTAGAGCATCTGCTCCAACCACTGTCATCTTGTTATCCAAAAATCAAAGAACTTCAAAATGGCATGACCTAATTTCAGTCAACCTAATTCAATCTACCCTCAAAAAATATATTGGTCTTCCTAGGCATTCTTAACTAGATATGTGTTCTTCTCATGAGTGGATTGATATTAAGACATGCATCCAATTCCACTTTCAAAATCTGTCTGTAAGCTGGAAAGCGAACACAAAGCTGTTGAAAAATGCAGGGAAAGTAAAATGTACCCACTGTGGATGAATTATGATAGTTTCCTGTAATAAACATACATCTTCATGTTAAAAAGAGATGCGGCAACGCTCCATTATTCATGTTGCTCCTATTTTGTACTCTTCACATACGAAAAGAAATGGCAGAACAAAGACCTTTCATTAATACTATACACAATTTCACAACCACACACCTTTCCCATCAATAATACATTCTGACAAGACAAACCATTAAGGTTGGCAAAATGTTTGTGATCTCATAAAGGGTACACCCTTTGGATTTTGGTAGATGCAAAGATCATTAGAAAAGCAATCTGTCATCAGATGAAACAAATCCATGCAACTAAGATATTTCTTTCGACAGCACTATTATATACTATTACTGTTAAAAGTAATTATTTAGCAGAGCACAGTTGTATATTATGATTATTAATTTACAGTTCACATTTTTATTCAATTTAACTAAAAGGATACATATTTTAGTTTGTTGGGTAATGATAAGATATGACCTCTTACAGATTCCATTTTAGTGGTAATGTTTCTAATACAGACAGTCCCCGAGTATCAAACATCTGACTTACAAACGACTCACAGTTATGAATGGGGGTGAGGCAGCAGGAAGCGAGAGAAATCTAACCCTTGGAAGGAAAATTCACTCCTGGGAAAGTTACCATGGGGAAAAGTTGTCTCAGCTGAAGCTTTCTCACCAATCCTTGTTTCCACAACAAGTCAAAATGTTCAAAATTCAGTGATCAGAGGGACAGAAAGTGAGGTGAAATCTTCTGCACAGGGGCAGACAGCAAAACAAACACTGCAGGTGTGTTTTTTCATTTCTAACAATTATTGAAATAATTTCAGATTAATCCATCAGCTGTTCCTATCCAAATTGTTTGTGACATGGAAATTCCCTTTCAAGCTATCTTGACAGTTTTTGTCTTTACTGTGAAGTAGGCATGGGATCTTTTTGTCATGCAGTTTTCCTGTATCAACTGCTATTCTCACTCTGCGTCTCAAAGTCGCTATGATTGCTCCATGGGGTGGGAAATGCAAGTACCAAAAATGCAATGTTGGTTAAATTATTTTGAAATACACATTTGATGGATTTTTTCCCTTTCTCACAGGAATTTATGGACTCTAATAAATACGTTGACCATTTGCTAACTCTGTTGGAAGAGCAACGCTGGAACGTGTGGAGGTAGGTGTCCATTTGTGTATTCCACAGGGCCATTTTATCTCATATCTATTTGGAAGTCCCCCCCCCCCGCATTTCATTATAACGTTCCCTCTTGCCATCCCACCACCGAAATAAGAGACCAGACAACTTTATGGATTGAACTATGAGCAACTTTATTCAAATGTTACCTTAATTAACTTTATATGACTTGCAACATGTTACTGAAAGGGACATGAACCTGGTGTGGATTTAAGCTGAGGTAGTGACCCTCCATGACCTACCCCACGGCTGAGATGGGCAAAACACCTGGGTCCCCGGGTGTAATAAATTGTAACGTTTTCAGGGTGACCATGCAGAAAATGTATGAAGAATTCTGCCCCAAGTCCAAAGGATTTTACTGAGGTTAGAACTCTCCCTGTTTGAAGGCCTTTTTTTGTTCACTCTCACCTCAGTTAGATAAACCACAGGTGAGAGTTTCTGTTCCTGGCCTACACCACAAAGGGGTGCTTTAGGTATACACCAAACCTATGGCTATTTTCTGCCACAGATTAGAGGTAAGAGTTCGCTTTACCCCTATATCCCACCAGGCTATCCAAAGCGGCCTTAATGCCCATTTGCAAGTCTCCTAAGAATTGGTGGTTGCCTGTATCAGAAAGAGGGATACCATCGCCTCAGAAGAAATCTGGCCTAAGATATGTGATGCTGTGTTGAATGTTCGAGCCCATACCTTTGGCCAATGGCTTGTATACAGCTCGATTCAGTAGAGACAAACCCTCTCTGAACAAATTCTACCAAGAAAACCCTGTGATAGCTTCACCTTAGGGCCACCATAAATCAGAAATGTCTTGAAATCACACAACAACACAACTGAAAAGAAGTTTCATCTTTTTAATATTTTGTTTCTGAATCTCTACATTCTGCCATTTATGTGCTGATGGTTTTTTTTTGTAAGAAAAAGCCATTAGAATCCTGAAATGTTAATCAGATATTTTTTACCCCTGCCCGAAGTATCTAATTTACGAAAACTCATTAACCTGAGATACTTATTACCAGAGATGAGTTCGCTTGAGAAACTTTTAAAATATCAATATATCAAAGTAGCTAGGGCATAATGAGCATAGGAATTGTGTGCATTTCAGCATATTTATATTTTCCTGAACACATAGTAAAAGCCATAACTGCATTCTATGTAAGAATAATTCTCTAATAGATTTCAGATTATTTTGTCTGCTTGGATTCAAATTCCACCAAACAGGCTAGTATTATAATGTCTGACTCCCAATAACTAATAGATTGGGCTATCTATAGGCATGAGTTTACATACCTTCAGAGTATGTAGCTTATTTCCTTTTTTTTTGAGAGCAGCAAACATGAAAATAATTCCCAAGGCAACTATTTGTGAAACCAGCAACATATGTCAGGATTGAGAAGCCTCACCTTTGACTATAGCTAAACTGCACCTTTGAGGATACAGACTTTTACTGCGTCTCCTTTTAAGGGCACAATGTTTCTTTCAAAAATGAGTGCCTATTTTAATCCAGTTTTTTTTTTATTACCAACAGTCTACTCAAGTGTCTACTCAAAAATAATTCCCATTAATATCATTGGGGCACAGTCCTAGGATTTAAAAAAAATCCTACAGGGTTGAATCCTTACAGTATGTTAGAAGATGTGGCTTATCTTAGAATTTCAGTGACAACATCCAACACAATAAAACAATTGGAAAAATTGAAAAACAATCTGACAAGGTAAAAGAATATAAAAAATTACAATAAACCAGATAGCTACGACTTAATTACACCATGATTTTGACTGTCAGATATATTTCTGGTGTGATGAGAAAGGCATGCTATAGCCTTGGATTTGATATAGCAGTGGTGTATTCCTCTCCTTAGTGACATTTTCCTTAATTAAAAGCAATGCATGGGCTTAATATCTTTTTAAAAGAGCTCTAGCAATTGTGGGATACTGTCTAGTCCCGATGAGATGAGATCTGAACCCAGATCAGAGGAATTTGGAGGAGTCTGGCCTGGAGCTAATAGCAAAGGCTTATGACTTATACTGGACATGCAGCCAGCCGTTGAAAAGGGAATAGAGGCAGGCCTGACCAAGACTCAGGAAGCAGACAACTTGTTCTAATGAGCAGCAGTTCCAAGATATGAACTCTTATAAGTGCTGAGCTTGACTGTTCTTCAGATAGTTAGTCATAGGAAGAGAATGAAATCAGTTTACACGATGAAGAAACTTCCAGGTACAGCCGTCTGGTCTTGGGGAGTCTCCATTATCTCATTCAGTGCATTGCTGGAAGGCATGGTAAGCACACTAGGTGGGATGGAGATGAGGGTATCTCAACAGTATGTATTTTAGGACTGTAATCCCTAGTTAGCCCTTGATTAATGGGCAGGGACAGAGTTTTGAAGGAGCACCTCTACAGGTACCCTGTTGACATTTCAAACTCAGCAAAAGTTTCTGCTGACAATTGAGTCATGACTACAGGGACCATAATTTTTTTAAAAAAAATTACACAGAATAAGAGCAAAAGGAAGGCTGAGCAAAGGAAGATAGACACTTTTGAACTGTGGTGTCGGAGGAAAATTCTCAGAGTGCCTTGGATTGCAAGAAGATAAAACCAGTCTATACTCTAGGAAATAATACCCAACTGCTCAGTGGAGGGAAGGATATTAGAGGCAAAGATGAAGTACTTTGGCCACATAATGAGAAGACAGGAAAGCTTGGAGAAGGTAATGATGCTGGGGAAAATGGAAGGAAAAAAAAGAAGAGGGGCTGACCAAGAGCAGGGTGGATGGGTGTTATCCTTGAAGTGACCAGCTTGAAGTGACTTGATTTTGAAGGACCTGGGGGTGGTGATGGCCGACAGGGAGCTTGGGTGTGGACTGGTCCATGAGGTCATGAAGAGTCGGAAGCGACTGAACGAGCAACAAAAGGAGAAAAATCATTCGCACAATTAGTGTAAAAACACTTTTGACTTACAGAACAATTAATGAATGCATATTCATGAATAAGAGACGCAGAAATAGTTTTAGGTTGATAAGCATTACAAATATAGGCTATATATTACTGTTCTTCAGAGGCGTTCTTTAGAACATTATCTTTAGCCCTATTCAAGTGTAACCTCACTCTGTCTGAATTATGAAGAGTATGAAGAGACATTCATTTTGATTTCGACTTCCCAAATAAGCATGGAAACGAGAAATTGTTGTTTTTACTCACATGGAGATTCCATGAACAGAATCTTTTTCTTCTCAGATTTGTCACTTTTCAATGGAGGAAAGTGTCAATGTGACAGGATTGGCTTAGGGACTTCCATCTTCATGAGTTATTTCAAACAACTAGTGGGTCAATATGGGCTTTTGTTAGTCAATGTTTTGAAATGCACAAATAAAGCTGAAAAATTACAATATAAAAACAATTTAAATAGTTTGCTAACTCCATTAACATTTACTTACCTATTTACTTCCTTATTTAAATATTTATAGCTTGCTGTCTATCAAGAGATTTCACAGTGGCAGCCAATAAAAGACTATAAAAATCCCATTATTTTAAAAAACTAAAAATGTATTAAACAATTTAACAAGTTAAAAGGACCAATTAATACAGTTAAAATAGGTTTTAATGATTTATACTGAATGCATAACATCAGGAATGCTTCTGCTTACAACTTTGAATTAACAAATTCGTTGCTTTTTGTCTTTTCACCGCTTCCAAATTTGCAATTTTTATCCAGAATCTTTTATAATCATTTCTAAATTCCCCAAAGAAAAAATGTTGGAAATATTTCATTGACATTTAAAGAATCCTTTGGCTTTGTTAGAAAGTTTTGTTTTTGTTTTTTAAGGGAATTGTTTCAGATCCATGGGAATAGTTGATGCTATCCAAGGGCAACACTAGATTGTCTATACTCAGACAGATGTCCTAATAAATCAGCATGGACCACTTCTCAGACTTCATTATGCCCTTGATTTGTGGCTGCCACAATTTTAACATATTGGGTCATTGGGTATTGAACCTGACATTGAACGATAGCCCCCAGTTTACTCTGGGCTGGCTAATAAAAAAGACAGACACAAATTCTGAACATTTAGCTCCTTCAGCATTACTCACAGCCTAAGCTGATTTATAGGAACCAAGCTGAAGGAGAGGAGACTAAAGGCAATGTCATGGTGCTCATACAGAGTGCCTATGTTACCACATGTGGAACAGCACACTCGAAGACGCTTAATTGGATGCGGGAGAGGAATTTTTTCTTCTTCTCATTTTACAGAGCCTGATAGATTTTGCTTTCTTTATGTGGCATAACCATCTGTTCTTAAACATGGAAATTTATTGCTACAGTCCCATTCCCTTGAGGGCTGTTTAAGGTTAGCTCATGTTTCATAACATTTTGCAAAAATAGATCGAAAAACTATATTTCAGATTCTTGTTTTTTTTCAGGATTTATAAAAACACATTAGAGGTCCTACTTGGCCATCTGTACAAATCCAACTAATCCTCTCTTCTTATTACCTACCATATTTTTCTAGAAGCATTGGTATGTTATATTAAGACGTTGCAGTCCTGGATAATATATGTTTTTGTTATTTTTTTTAAAAAATGCTTTGAATAGTTAATGTTTTTTTGGTTACCTTGGAAACCAATATACACATCTCTTTCCTTTTTCAGGAGACTAATTATTTGAGCTTGTTATTTGCTACTAAATAATACTTTGCCAAATGCAATGGATGACTAAAAGTTCAGACATTGCTGAAACGTTGAACTTCAAAATTTGTGAGATTATACCAATGGAGAAAGACAATGAATGCACATTTCTCATTGGGTTGGAGCTATATTGGAGTTGGAATAGAACTAGCAAAATTAATGTATTACATGGGTAATTCATCACATGTGTACTAGTGGGTCTGCATACCAGTTCTTATTGGGTGTCTTCAAGTCATTTCTGATAGTGATCCGAAGGCAAATCTATAATGGATTCACCTCATTATCACAATGAATTAGCATGGATT